TTTTCTGATACGATCCATTGAGCGGGAGGTGGAGAATATAGGGATGTTTGAGAATCATACTTAACTTATACAACCAGATAATCCTGAAATTATTGGAATAGTATGACCATCCAACTTTAGGGTTTTAACTCCCACATACCAAAACTGAACCAAAGAACCCGAACAGGGCCTAAGTAACCCGATACCAGCGGCTACCGTTGTGAATGTTTTGGCATCTACTGAATCTGAATACAAGAATCAAAAGTTTGAATGGAGATTGCTCTTCTTCATTGAAACTTTCGAGGCAGACGCTGAACCGAATTCAAATTCCTAGACGAAAAAAAGAAATGTAATAACGACATAACCGCTTAAAATACTAGAGGGGTGAAGAGGCGTATAAGAAGGTTGAAGAAATTAGCAAGGATATTGCCAAGCTCATGATAAGAAATAGAGCCTATCCTAGGCTACAGATGGGAATATTGAACAGAACGAAACGAAACATAGACGGATGCCCATAATAATAAGCCTGAACTAATCGAATCGTAGACAGCAGCCAAAACTGAATCTAAGTGGAAAAACAGGAGAACAATCTTCACCCAAACAGGCGGGGAATAGAACTTAAATTCCAAGTTGAAAAACCAACGTAAAATCGACATAATCGCCTTATAATGCCGGAGGAGTGAAAAGCCAGATAAGATGTTGGTAGAAGTGAGCAGGGATATTTCCTAGTTTACAACATGAAAGGGAGCACAGATGCGGGATATGACCAAAATTAACCGTTGAAATAAGAACCCACAGTAAAAAGATTGCCAGAAGAATAAAACTGGCAGTCTTTAAATTCTTTATGAACGGGTTAATCATTCTGCAATGGCGAACATCGGAACATTCTGAAATCGCGAACATGTTTTGGCACCTGTAGACGAGGATATCGTGCAAGCACTCATCTAGCAGACAACACTAGATCTGAGTTCAAGAACCAACGTGGAAGGGCAATCTCCATCCAAACTACCGAGGCAGACGGTGACTCAAACTCAAATTTCGAGTCAAAAAGCAAATGTAACATCGACACAGGAAGCTGATAAGGAGGAGGTTGAAAAAGTGAGCAAGGACATTATAAAGGTTACTAAAAAAATACAAAAATTTACTGGACAATATGAACCGAAGAAACCTTCCCTCCACTTCTTACAACGCTGAAAAACAAATGTAATATCGACATAACCGCCGTAGAATTTCGGAAGAGTGAATAGGCTGATAAGGTGCAGGTTGAGGAGGCTGATAAGGTGCAAGGACATTATAAAGGTTACGACAAAAAAAAACAAAAATTTACTGGACAAGGACATTATAAAGGTTTCCTAAAGAGCTGAAAAAAACAAAAATTGGTCAGAATGAATCAAAGAAACAATAACTTACTGAACAGACATGTCCATAAAGATATGTCGGGAAGATCTGATTTCTCCGAAATAAGATTAGGACTCTGGAAGAGTAGACGAATATCAAAATTGCACAGAAACAAATATCCCATGGGTTCATAAAATCAACCAGCTGAGGGCTGCAAAGAAGAATCTAGTATCTGGAAGACGATCACTGCCCCAAAATCTTCCATAAGGTCTTAAAATCACAATCCACTCTTGTAATGATCCTGGAGCTAGAAAACATATTCTGCAAAAAAGCAAGGTTTGTGATCATGGTCCTAGAAAATGCATTCTTTAAATATTGTCCTGGTCTCAAAAAAATATTATTAAAAAAACCACACTTAAGTTGGTTCTGGCCTTAGAAGTAAATATGCTTTGTAAAATCTTTTGGTGTTGCTGGCCGTAAAAATATTATTTAATAAAAAGTCAACGCTAAGAATCCTGGTCCTAGAAAATATATTCTTTAAAAAGTCTCCATTTGGAATAGTTTTTGTCCTAGAAAAATTTTCATCTATAAAATCCACACATGGTTAGTCCTGATCTTAGAAAAATATGCTTTTAAAAATGCACACTACAAGAAATGTACTTTACAAAATCTAGGCTTGTAATGGTTCAAGTCCTAAAAAAAAATCTTTAAAAATACCTGCTTTGGATGGTCCTGGTCATTGAAAAAATCCACCCCTGGGCTGATTCTGGAGCTAGAAAAAATATTCTTTAAAAACCCCCAGGGCTGGTCCAGGACATTAAAAGAATTTTCTTTAAAAAATCCACACCTGGGCTGGTCTAGGCCATTAAAAATATTATTTAAAATCCAAACCTTGGCTGGTCCTGGACACTGAAAAACTGTCTTTTTTTAAATACAAGCTTGGGATAGTACTGGTCATTGAAAAAATATTTTTTTAAATCATCCACGCCTTGGTTGGTCCCTGTCATTGAAAAATATTCTTAAAAAATACTCACTTCGGATAATCCTGGTCTTAGAAAAATATTCTTAAAACCAGTAAGGAAAGTAGTAAAGTCGGACGGGGCCGACTATATTATACCCTTCACCACTTTGGGTATATTCAACAGATGAGATCCTAACAGACGTCGCATTTTTGAAAGACCAGTAACATGAAATTAAACATGTCATTTTGCAACCTATACTAAATTTTGATCAGATATAGAGTTGCTTCTTACAATGGGACAAAATTATGTAAATAAATTTAAAGCAAAATATCGAAATCTAAACCGATTTCATCGAAACTTGTCACATCTTCGGCCACATTTTGAGTTCCTCATTTACATATAAATCCAAATTTCGTGCAAATGGAAGGGTATATAGGGTCTTTGGTGCACCATTTACAAAAAATCTGGCGAAAATATATATGGAAGCTATATCTAAATCTGAACCAATTTTCACGAAATTTAACATACATCGTTCTAGACTTAATTCAGAAAGCTATGCCAAATTTCGGGCAAATCGAACGGTATATAGGGACTTTGGTGCACTATTTACCTAAAATCGGACGAAAATATATATGGGAACTATATCTAAATCTGAACAGATTTTCACGAAATTTTACACACATCGTTCCAGACTTAATTCATTACGCTGTGCTAAATTTCGTGCAAATCGAAGGATATATAGGGAATTTGGTTACCTAAAAATCGGTCGAAAATATATATGGGAGCTATATCTAAATCTGAACCGATTTTCACGAAACTTTGCACACATCATTTTGGACCTAATTCAGTACGCTATGCCATATATAGGTACTTTGGTGTCTATATCGGACGAAAATATATATGGGAGCTATATCTAAATCTGAACCGATTTTTCCCAATTTCAATAGGGTTCGTCCTTGGGCCGAATAAGCGGCTTGTGCCAAATTTCATCCAAATCGGATCATAAATGCGACCTGTACTTTGTTTACAATTTAACATCTACAGACAAACAGACGGACGGACATGCATAAATCGACTCAGAAAGTGATTCTATGCATATTCTCAAAAGGAACCATGTGTCTATCTCGTTTCCTTTTGCCTGTTACAAACATATGCACAAAGACATAATACCCTGTACCACAGTGTGGTGAAGGGTATAAAAACTCCACGGTTGGGATAGTCCTAGATTAGAAAAAATATTCTTTAAAAAATACAAGCTTCAGATAGTCCTGATTTTATGAAAAAAAATATTCTATATAGTCCTGGTCTTAGAAAAATATTCTTTATAGGTTTTTTTATACTTTGCTATTAGGATATTCCTGGTCCTAAAAAATATGTTTTAAAAGCAACTCTTTAAAGGTCCAAGTTGGGGATGGTCCTGGTCCTAGAGATTATTCTTAAAAACTCTTAGGAAGGTCTTAGTCTTAAAAAAATGTATTAAAAATCGAGGCATGGAATGGTCCTGGTCCTAAACCAATAAGCTTATCTTATTAAAAACATACACTCTTGGTCCTGAAAAATGGGCTTGAAAATCTGCGCTTATGATGGTTCTGATCCTATATAAAAATTCTTTAAAAAAAATCACGCTTGAAATATTTCTGGTCCTAAAAAATTGGTTTAAAAAACCAATAAGTTCATGGAACCTAATAGACGTTGTTAACATTTAAAGGTACCACAAGAATACTACTTTTCTGACCACATATATATAAATTTGTCATCCAAATTTTTCAGAAAAAGTCCATATCGAGAAGACGGGAACACAACGACAACTCATCGACTAAAATGGCGATGCTGGAATGTGGAAGCTCTATGTTCCCAAGAGGGGTATCAGAAAAAAAATTGGTACAGGCTTAATTCAATAGCGGCTTTCGTTCGTCATGTTCTAAGAAGCGTTAGCGTACCTTAATATACATATGTATACCTTTGTGCGAACATTTGTATTCAACTTCCAACTATCCTGCATATCTGTAGGCTATGTAGTAATCCTCCGCCTTCCATATTTCGTAGCTGCTTACAGTTTTGAGCCAAAGTAATGGGCACACTTAAATAAATTTCCAGCACTATAACAAATTATTAATTTATTCCCTCTCACCCACTTTCTTACTTCAGCATTGCCTTTTTCTAATTTACAAACAAATATTAAAAACAATATTTTAAAACATAGCAATAATAATAATAATCATTTTCAAAACATAAGTAATAATGCAGAATGTGCTGTAAACATTCATTCACTCAGTGGCTCCTATTCGAACATTCAAGCCACTATCAGCTGCATACACACGCACACTCAAACACATACACACCAACACTTACAATGCTGCATATTTAGCTACTGTTGCGCCACATTTTTCAGATAAGTTTTATCCGTTTTTATTTCGAATCTAGAAGCAATGAAACACCAAAAACAACAACAACACCAAGAACCACAAACAGAACCATTGACGACAATTTAATCTGCCGAGGAGAGAGAACGAAATTTGTTCTTAGTTTTCAAAACAGAACGGAACACCACGCAACGAATTTATCCATAATTTCGGAATAAAATACACAACACTGAACGGAACGGAAGAGTAGTGCGAACGATTTTCAATGAAATTGAATTTGTGATATAAATTTTGTTATTGTTGTTTTGTTTTGTTCGAATCGCAACGGAACCGGAAGTGTTATCAATAAACGGTGGTTATGATTCGCCTGGAATATCGCGTGGCTATTGCGGCACTGATCATTGCCATCGTTTGTGTTGATCTCTGTTATCCATGGATGAATTTTAACAGTTATACATCGAGAAAACGTACCGATTTAAAGAAGCGATGTCCCAATGTAAGTTCGGGGCGAAATTGAGTGTGTAACAACTGAGAGAAAAAAATCTTCCCAAAAATTGTTCTGTGGAAATTTTTTGTGAAATTATGAAATTATTCAAAACATATTTTGAAATACCACATAATGAAAATACGATCCTGGGAAATGCAAAAACAAAACTAAAGAATTTCTTATCACCAAAAATGTTCAAATTCCGAAAATGTTCGTAAAAATAATCTTTTCAAATATTCACGCTTCGGTCTATAAAAATAATCTTTACAAATATTCACGCTTCGGTTTATAAAAATAATCTTTAAAAAATCCACGACTGGACTGTGCTGATCCTGGTCCTTGAAAAATAGTCTTTAAAAATAAAAAAAAAGAAAATCTTAAAAATATAATTTTTTTCTTAAATGAAACCAAGCCATAGCTGCGCTGGTCCTTTAAAATTTTTCAGCTGGTGATTGAAAAAAATATTCTTTAAAAAATCCCACGCCTATAATGGACCTTGCAAAAATATTCTTTAAAAAATCCCACGCCTATAATGGACCTTGAAAAATATTCTTTAAAAAATCCACGCCTATAATGGGCCTTAAAAAATATTCTTTAAAAAATCCACGCATATTTTGGGCTTTGAAAATCCACGCCATTGTTGGTCCTTGAAAAAATATTCTTTAAAAAATCCACGCTTTTGCTGGTCCTTGAAAATCCACGCCTTTGCTGGTCCTTGAAAAAATATTTATTTAAAAAATCCACGCTTTTGCTGGTCCTTGAAAAAATATTCTTTGAAATATCCAGGCCTCTGCTGGTTCTTGAAAAATATTCCTTATAAAAAAATTCTTTAAAATTTTTCCACGCCTCTGATACGCCTTGAAAAAAATATTCTTTAAAAAACCACGCCTAGATACGCCTTGAAAAGTTATTCTTTAAAAAAACCCACGCCTCTGATACGCCTTGAAAAAAATATTCTTTAAAAAATCCACGCCTCTGATACGCCTTGAAAAAAATATTCTTTAAAAAATCCACGCCTCTGATACGCCTTGAAAAAAATATTCTTTAAAAAATCCACGCCTCTGATACGCCTTGAAAAAAATATTCTTTAAAAAAATATTCTTTAAAAAATCCACGCCTCTGATACGCCTTGAAAAAAATATTCTTTAAAAAATCCACGCCTCTGATACGCCTTGAAAAAAATATTCTTTAAAAAATCCACGCCTCTGATACGCCTTGAAAAAAATATTCTTTAAAAAATCCACGCCTCTGATACGCCTTGAAAAAAATATTCTTTAAAAAATCCACGCCTCTGATACGCCTTGAAAAAAATATTCTTTAAAAAATCCACGCCTCTGATACGCCTTGAAAAAAATCTGTTTAAAAAATCAACGCCACTGATACGCATTGAAAAAAACTGTTTAAAAAATCCACGACTCTGATACGCCTTGAAAAAAATAAAAAAATCCACGCCTTATTCTTTAAAAAATCCACGCCTCTGATACGCCTTGAAAAAAATATTACGCCTTGAAAAAAATATTCTTTAAAAAATCCACGCCTCTGATACGCCTTGAAAAAAATATTCTTTAAAAAATCCACGCCTCTGATACGCCTTGAAAAAAATATTCTTTAAAAAATCCACGCCTCTGATACGCCTTGAAAAAAATATTCTTTAAAAAATCCACGCCTCTGATACGCCTTGAAAAAAATATTCTTTAAAAAATCCACGCCTCTGATACGCCTTGAAAAAAATATTCTTTAAAAAATCCACGCCTCTGATACGCCTTGAAAAAAATATTCTTTAAAAAATCCACGCCTCTGATACGCCTTGAAAAAAATATTCTTTAAAAAATCCACGCCTCTGATACGCCTTGAAAAAAATATTCTTTAAAAAATCCACGCCTCTGATACGCCTTGAAAAAAATATTCTTTAAAAAATCCACACCTCCACGCCTATAATGGGCCCTGAAAATTATTCTTTAAAAAATCCACGCCTATAATGGGCCTTGAAAAAATATTCTTTAAAAAATCCACGCCTATAATGGGCCTTGAAAAAATATTCTTTAAAAAATCCACGCCTATAATGGGCCTTGAAAAAATATTCTTTAAAAAATCCACGCCTATAATGGGCCCTGAAAAAATATTCTTTAAGAAAATCCACGCCTATAATGGGCCCTGAAAAAATATTCTTTAAAAAATCCACGCCTATAATGGGCCCTGAAAAATATTCTTTAAAAAATTAACGCCTATAATGGGTCTTGAAAAAAATATTCTTTAAAAAATTAACGCCTATAATGGGTCTTGAAAAAAATATTCTTTAAAAAATCCACGCCTCTGATACGCCTTGAAAAAAATATTCTTTAAAAAATCCACGCCTCTAAAACGCCTTGAAAAAAATATTCTTTAAAAAATCCACGCCTCTAAAACGCCTTGAAAAAAATATTCTTTAAAAAATCCACGACTCTGATACGCCTTGAAAAAAATATTCTTTAAAAAATCCACGCCTCTAAAACGCCTTAAAAAAATATTCTTTAAAAAATCCACGCCTCTGATACGCCTTGAAAAAATATTCTTTAAAAAATCCACGCCTATAATACGCCTTGAAAAAAATATTCTTTAAAAAATCCACGCCTCTAAAACGCCTTAAAAAAATATTCTTTAAAAAATCCACGCCTCTGATACGCCTTGAAAAAAATATTCTTTAAAAAATCCACGCCTCGATACGCCTTGAAAAAAATATTCTTTAAAAAATCCACGCCTATAATCGGCGTTGGACATTAATGGGCATAATGGGCCTTGAAAAAATATTCTTTAAAAAATATATTCTTTAAAAATCTACGCCTTGGTCGGCGCCTAAAAATATTATTTAAATGATCCACGTCTTGGCTGGTCCTGGTCTTTAAAAATTTCCTCTAGAAGATCGACGTCTATAATGGACTTTAAAAATATTTTTTAAAAAATCTACGCCTTGTTAGGTCCCTGAAAAAATTTTCTTGACCGGGCTTTTTCTTTAAAAAGTCCGATCCTTGAAAAACTATTCTTTAAGAAATCTACCCCTTGTTAGGTCCTTGAAAAAATATTTTTTAAAATCGTTTATTTACTTTTTTATATATTCAATATTTAATATATTTTACACAAAATACTTCCAACATATTTCTTCTCAGAAAATTGTCTATGACGGCGGAAAAAAATTGTAACAATTTTAGGAATTTCTGATTAATTTGTTGTCATCTAAAAAAATATGAAACTTTCACGGCTTTGGCCTATCAGTGCCATAGACCAAAAGAAAAACAAAATCCCCATGTGCTGCTGCACACAGATCCTATTTAAGATTCCAAGCATGAGGCTGTTAAATTTCAGAATATTTGAAAATAGAAAGTGACCAATATTAAATTGTTCTGCAATAGCTGTCCATCATAGCGTCAGTCAACCAAGCTAGCCGGCCTGCCGGCCAGCCATCCAACGAGCTATCATCCAGCCAGGTCTTCTTTCTCTAATAAATCAATTTGGTAACAAACAGACACACACACATCGCGACACTCTTTCTCAGACGCATAAACAAAACTTTCTTCCGTCATCCATCGAAGGCATCGATCGCTTGGAGAATTGCTCGCGCGTCATCTGAGCATGAATGGGCAGCGGTGAGGTGATCAATGGTTGGTCAACATTCCAGGCATACAATCGATGGATGGATCGTTGGATGAAACAGTTCCAAATAGTCATATTCATCAATGTTTGCGTATTCTTTCTGAGACACTTGTAAAAATAAAAAAGAAGAGGAAACAACAACGACAACAACGAAAACAGATCCATAAATTGTTTGATGAGAAATGGGAATGAATTTATTTGTGCAGTGGTGGTTTGGCCGTCCGGCCACCACATTCTTCCGTGACATGTGAATAGTTTGTCGAATAATGTTTTTGTTTTATGTTTTAAATATTCCAATAAGAATGATCGACAGACCGACAAACAAGCAGACAGACAGACGAACGATTGACTTGATCGCATGAGAAAATAAATCGCACTCAATTCAATTTCGAAATAATCAGAATAGCTGGTCATAGAAATTGTTGCTTGGCAAACGCCAGAACGATAACACTTCTGACAAAATCAGCTGCTGTCAGTGGAGCCTATTCGGTGGAGCGGTAACCCACAAAAAATCAAAACAAAAACAATAATGTTAGCTCTGGCACCCCATAAAAATCTCATCAATATGCAACACTTGTGACAAACCGACAGAAACAAAAACAACAACACAACATCGCACATTTATCAGCTGCCACAATAACAATTCAACATCGTGAAATTCATTCGTTCTACGCTACATAACTCATGATTTTGTCTCGTCGAACTCCACCACTAGCATGGGTGCCAAGAAGTTGATCGGATGAAGAAAGGTCGCTAAAATGAAATATTTTTCAGACTATGTATGTGGATTTTTTAAAGAACATTTTTCCAAGGTCAAGGACCAAGCAAGGCCTTAAAGAATATTTTTTCAGGGCCCATTATAGGTGTGGATTTTTTAAAGAATATTTTTTCAACAATCAGACCAGCCAAGGCGTGGATTTTTTAAACGAATATTTTTTCAACAATCAGACCAGCCAAGGCGTGGATTTTTTAAACGAATATTTTTTCAACAATCAGACCAGCCAAGGCGTGGATTTTTTAAACGAATATTTTTTCAACAATCAGACCAGCCAAGGCGTGGATTTTTTAAACGAATATTTTTTCAACAATCAGACCAGCCAAGGCGTGGATTTTTTAAACGAATATTTTTTCAACAACCAGACCAGCCAAGGCGTGGATTTTTTAAACGAATATTTTTTCAACAACCAGACCAGCCAAGGCGTGGATTTTTTAAACGAATATTTTTTCAACAACCAGACCAGCCAAGGCGTGGATTTTTTAAACGAATATTTTTTCAACAACCAGACCAGCCAGGATTATTTAAAGAATGTTTTTAAGAACTAGACGAGCCGAGAACATCATCTGACCTACAATATAAAAACCATCTGGATTTATTACAGGTCTTATGCCCTTCTCTAAGGAGATCTTTCTGCCTCCTGTAAAAAAATATTTGCCTTCTTCGAAGCTCTTGCTTTTTTAAACGTATTTTTTCAAAACCTCCGTCCCTATTTTTTAAGAATATTTTTTCCTGAATTTTTTTAAACTATTTTTTCAGATCTTTAAGAAAAAAAATATTTGCCAAAAAAATTTTTGTTTTTTTATTCAAACATTTTTACAATATTTTTTGAATAGTATTAAGATTTCTGAATTCTAACCTAGATTATTTTTATTTATTTTATTTATTATTTTCTTTTAATTTTCAGGTACGTGCCCAACGAAATTTCGATTTGGAACCCATGATGGGTAATTGGTATGTGGTGCAGTATTATGCCTCCACAGAGGAATTGCCCGAATATGCCTGTATGCGTAGCCATTTCACCTTTACCAGTGATGATCAACATGTAAGTACAAAAATAACTGCACTCTTTTTATGCTACTACCGGTTTAGGTCCTTTTTCGGCCACCTTTCCCAAACTCCCCATTAACAAATTCCTTGTATGTTAATTATCATGGAATTTATTGTGCGAGTGTGTGTGTCCGACTAAGTAAATGTCAAAAAAACGAAAAGTAACAAAAATTGCAAATTTAAGAACAAAAAGGAGCTGGTTTCCGCCGCCACTATCAATGATGCTGCTGTCGCTGATGCCATTGCGCACGCGCATAAGTGAAATTTTTCGTAGCAATTGCTGCCGCTCGCTCAACAAACACACACATACTCACACATCCAGACAACAACTTTCACTTGACAAATACCAAAAACGAGTCAAACGAAGGAGAAGAAGAAGTTGTCGAAGTCGAAGAAGACGATGCAGAGGACAACTACCGCATAGCACTTTACTCACAAGTACTCTAAAATGATACATGCCAACAGGTAGTGTGTGTCCCGCAAGATGACTTCCTTACTTCTTTGACGTCCTCTCAATGTAGTCTGATGATGATAATGTTGGTTTTTTTTCTTACTGGCCAATGGCTATATCAAAATTATTTTCCTGGAATCCAAACAAAAAAGGGTCATATCCATTGGGAGTTATTGTTGCTACCTTGTGTGTAGTTACATTGAACAATTTTGGGCGAGTGGGCACATCAATTTTTCATTACAATGAAAAGCGAAAACGAAAGATGTGTGTGTTTTATTATGTTGGGCGCCAAAAAACGTGCACTGAATTTAGTTACAGCAACAAGAACTCGTGCGCTTTACAAACCGAACAATTTGAATGGAATGCATAAAGAGCTTTGTAGTTCCTTTATTCTGATTAAAATTTTATAGGTCCGCTATAACAACAATAATCACAAAAGGTTAAATGCGCTTCAGTGTTGTCAATGTAGCGGTTTTTTTGGTGAGAATACAAGTACTTCTAGGTATTTTATAAAGAAGATATTTTGGATCCCTATATATAGACGTCAACTCCAAATGAAGAAAATCTATTGGCTCCTATAAAGAAGACTTCTTGTTAACGACGAAGAAAACCTACTGATTTTTGTTCTTCACATATGTTGGCCTTCTATAAAGGAAACCTCCTGATCTTCTCTTTGGTATTATATGAGTATTTGGTTTGCTATAAATGAGGACTCTTTACTTTCTACCAGCAAAAACTTCTGACCAGAGAAAACCGTCGGGTCTTCTTTTGGAAGTATTTCCAATCTTCTCTGAGAAGACCTTTGACCCCTCTATGAGAAGATATTCTGGCTTTCAATACGAAGTACTGTCGGAAACCTTATATAAGCTTATAAACATCTGTAAGGAGACCTTGTAAGGATACTATTCAATGACAAGGTATTTGGGGCCTCTGAAGATCTCCAGCTCTATTATGCGTATACGTCATCCCTATTACTGACCTCCTATAAAAACACATTTTGGCCTACTATGAGAAACCCGTCTAAATCCCTATAAGGTTATTCTTAGTAAACACCTTCGACTTTCTAAATATATTTTATCTATACCTAGAAGGCTTTCTATCCTGACAAAAACTTCTATGAAACCAGTAAGGAAAGTAGTCAAGTCGGACGAGGCCGACTATATGATACCCTTCACCACTTTTGGTATATTCAACAGACGTCGCATTTTTAAAGGACCAGTAAAATGAAATTGGATCCATAAACATTTCCTTCTGCAACCGATACTATTTTTTTCATTTGGTCAGATATAGAAGCTATATCTAAATCTGAACCGATTTAAGGAAACTTAACACACACCATTCTAGACCTAATTCATTACGCTGTGCTAACTTTCGTGCAAACCGAATGATATTAAGGAACTTTGGTACACCATTTACATTAAATCGTACGAAAATATATATGTGAGCTATATCTAAATCTGAACCGATTTTCAGGAAACTTAACACACACACCTTTCTAGGCCTAATTCATTACGCTGTGCCAAAGTTCATTAAATCGGACGGAAATATATATGGGAGCTATATATAAATCTGAACCGATTTTCACGAAACTTAACACTCATCATTCGAGACATAATATATTACGCTGTGCCAAAATTTCGTGCAAATCGAAAGATATATAGATATATTTGGTGCACCATTTACATTAAATCGGACGGAAATATGTATGGAAGCTATATCTAAATCTGAACCGATTTTCAGGAAACTTAACACACACACCTTTCTAGGCCTAATTCATCACGCTCTGCCAAATTTCGTGCAAATCGAGAGATATATAGGGACTTTGGTGCATCATTTACATTAAATCGGATGAAAATATATATGGGAGCTATATCTAAATCTAAACCGATTTTCAGGGAACTTAACACACATAATTCTATACCTAATTCATTACGCTGTGCCAAATTTCGTGCAAATCGAAAGATATATAGGGACTTTAGTGGACCATTTACATTAAATCGGACGGAAATATATATGGGAGCTATATCTAAATCTGAACCGATTTTCACGAAACTTAACACTCATCATTCGAGACATAATATATTACGCTGTGCTAAAATTTCGTGCAATTCGAAAGATATATAGATATATTTGGTGCACCATTTACATTAAATCGGACGGAAATATATATGGGAGCTATATCTAAATCTGAACCGATTTTCAGGAAACTTAACACTCATCATTCTAGACCTAATTCATTACTCTGTGCCAAATTTCGTGCAAATCAAAAGATATATAGGGACTTTAGTGGACCATTTACATTAAATCGGACGGAAATATATATGTGAGCTATATCTAAATCTGAACCGATTTTCACGAAACTTAACACACATCATTCTAGACCTAATTCATTACGGTGTGCCAAATTTCGTGCAAATCGAGAGATATATAGGGACTTTGGTGCACCATTTACATTAAATCGGACGAAAATATATATGGGAGCTATATCTAAATCAGAACCGATTGTTTCCAATTTCAATAGGGTTCGTCCTTGAGCCAAATAATATACCTATGCAAAATTTCATCCAATTCCGATTCATAAATGCGACCTGTACTTTGTTCACAATTTAACATGGACAGACAGAGAGACGGACAGACGGAAAGACGGACGGACATGCATAAATAGACTTAAAAAGTGATTCTATGCATAGTCTCAAAAGGAACCTACTATTACAAATGTTCCGTCCTTCTAGTCTTCGGTAAATACCTCTCTGGTACGATTCTCTATGGAAAATTGTCTATGAAAAGAGCTTCATCTTTATTACGAGAAGAATACATTGCCTTTCATATGAACCTCCTGACATTCCATGAAAACATCTTTCTCAAAAAAGGCCACAAGGTCTATTCTGAAAAAACATTCTGACCAGCTAGGAAGACCTTCAACGGACTTTTTGTAAATTTTTTTATATAAACTTTAGAATACCTTCTGTACTTCTATGAAATTCCATGGGGAGACTTTCTTTTGAGGACCTTCCGGTTTACTTATTGGACCTTCTAGCATCCTATAATGATATCTTATGGTATTTTATGAGAATTCCGAATTTTCAGTAACACTTTCTCTAATCATATGAGAAGACTTTCTGGCCTTCTATGGGAAGAATTTACTTACCATCTAGGGGTAGATCTTCAGGTCTTTTATTGGAGGGCATTCTATAGGAATACCTTGTGGCCAGCTATGATAAAATATTCTGACCTTTTTTGAAAAGACTTTCTGTGAAGGATATTCTGACGTATGTCCTTCTGCTCTTATGTGAAAAGAGCTTCTGGCCTAGGAAAAAATCTTCTGTTCGCCTGTCTCCTATAAAAAGATCTTCTGAAGTTCTGCAAAAAGGCAATCTGGTTTTCTATGCGAAGACGTCCTGCTCTCCTATAAGAAGACCATCAAACCTTCCATTAGAAATTCTTGTCAAGTTGTATGAGAAGACATTCGGGTCATCATCAACAATATATTATGTTTTTCTATGAGAAGACCTTCTTGAAGACCATCTTGGCTTCAATGAGAAGATCCTCCGGCTTTCAAAGGGAAGATCTCTAGTCTTTTTTGGGTGGACCTTCAGCTCTTCTTTGAAACAATCTAATCGTGATACAGCTTCGTTAGATAACATTGTATTTTTTAAGGGCAGCCCTGCTCTACTACGATAAGACCTCCTGCTTTATTTTGAGTTCTCCTTTATTGACCTTTCATTAGAACACAGAATGTGGCTATAGAAAGACCTTCTGTGGCTTATATGGGAACACATTCTTCCAAGTAAAGTCCTTTTGGTCTTCTATGGATGACCTTCCATTTGTCTTCATTGAGAACACCTTCTGTCCTTCCAGGAGAAGATCTTTCGTCCTTCTATATAAACAATGCCTGGCCTTTTTGTGAGAAAAATAACTGTCATCTTTGAAAAGACATCTCTCTCTATCTCATCTATTAGAAAACCTTCCAAAAAGCCCCTAACTTTGGGAAAATTTACTGCTCTTCCATAAGTACACCTACTGAAGCAAATAATGTTGACATCACTTCGTAAATGGTGGTAGTGAACCCCAACCACTCACTCACATCTGATCAATGATCATCGGCACGTTATTCAATACGCCTAACCGTGAATAACTGTTATTGGCAGATGGTTCGGTTCATTGTTCGCGGTACTCTTTGTTGTTGGTATTTTGTATATAAGAAGAAAGAAGTTTTCTCGCCAGCATTTTTTATTCCCCCCTTTGACTGGTTAGTGTTGGGCGTTTACACTGTGATGCACCCAATGCTCTGCACTTTTTTCGGTGGGTTGTGTTTCTTTTTTTCTGGCCATCTTGAGAAAGACGATGCAAATCATCCAAGTCCACAATTGAATGCCATTATTACAGGTATATGAATGGGCCTTTGAAGTGATGCGCTTTTATGCATGTGTGTGTGTGTTAGTGGGGATATGTGTGAGTGGTGCATGTGTGTTGGATGTGAAAATCATGTGGCCAGGTTTTTTCCTACATACCTGCCTGCGATAATCGAAATTCACCAATAACTTAAAAAACGAAGGATTTGGGAAACAACATTTTATGGGTTCCCTTGAACTTTAGAGAAACAACAGTGGGGGAGAGTGTAACGAATTTGCTTAAGAATTTTAATAATCTGAAAATTTGGGAGAGGACTTTCAAAGATTTCATGGCATTATACTAGGAGACCTCCTAGCCTGAGAAGAACTTTTCATCTTCTGTGAGAATACCTACTGTCCTTTTAGAGGACATTCTATATGAAGACCTTCTGGCATTCTATGAGAACACCTTCTGGCTTTCTATGAGAAGATCTTCTCGCCACCCATAAGAAGACCTCCTGGCCTTCTTTGAGAAGACCTTCTGGCCTTCTATGAGAAGACATCCTGGCCTTCAATGGAAAGACCTCCTGGCCTTCAATGGAAAGACCTCCTGGTCTTCTATGGGAATACCTCACGCCCTTCTACGAGAAGACCTTCTGACCTTCTATGAGAATAACATCTGGACTTCTATGAGAAGACCTCCTGGCCTTTCATAAGATGACCTTTTGGCCTTCTGAGAGAAGACCTCCAGCCCTTCTATGAGAATACCTTCTGGACTTCTATGAGTAGACCTCCTGGCCTTTCATAAGATGACCTTCTGGCCTTCTGAGAGATGACGTCCAGACCTTCTATGAGAAGACCTCACACCCTTTCATGAAAACACCTTCTGACCTTCTATGAGCCCTCTATGAGAAGATCTTCTGGCCTTCTATGAGACGACTTTCTGGCCTGCTATGGGAAGACTTCCTGGCCTTCTTTGGGAAGACCTCCTGGCCTTCTTTGGGAAGACCTCCTGGCCTTCTATGGGAAGACCTCCTGGTCTTCTATGGGAATATCTCACACCCTTTTATGAGAACACCTTCTGACCTTCTATGAGAAGAACTTCTCGCCTTCCATGAGAAGACATCCTGGCCTTTCATAAGATGACCTTCTGGCCTTCTGAGAGAAGACATCGAGGCCTTCTATGAGAAGACCTCACACCCTTTCATGAAAACACCTTCTGACCTTCTATGAAAAGAACTTCTCGCCTTCCATAAGAAGACCTACTGGCCCTCTATGAGAAGACCTCCTGGCCTTCTTTGAGAAGACATCCTGGCCTTCCATGAGAAGACCTCCTGGTCTTCTATGGAAAGACCTCCTGGCCTTCTATGGAAAGACCTCCTGGCCTTCCATAAGAAGACCTCCTGGCCTTCTTTGAGCAGACCTCACGCCCTTTTATTTGAACGCCTTCTTGCCTTCTATGAGAAGACCTCCTGATCTTCCACGAGAAGACGTTCTGGTCTCCCATGAGAAGACCTCCTCATCTGCTATGAGAAAAATTTCTGTCCCTCTACGGGAAGACCTTCTGGCCGTCTATGAGAAGACCGACAGATTTTTTCTCCGAAGAACTTCGGACCTTCTATGAGAAAACCTACAGGCCTCCTATGAGTAGACCTCCTGACCTTCTATGAGAAGATCTTCTAGTATTCTATGAGAAGTCATTTTGATCTTCTAATAGAAGAACTTCTGACCTTCTATGAAAAGGCCTTCTGACATTCTTAGAGATGGTATTTATGGGGTAAATACCCAATTTACCGGGTATTTACTCACTGCCCATCTTTAGGCATTCTATAAAATGAAATTATCTTCTGACCTTCTAAGGGAAATCCTTCTAGGAGAAGACATTCTGCCCTTCTATGATAACATTCATCAGAGCTCCTGGTCCGCACATTCCACCCACTGTGCCATTTTCATCACGCTGCTACGTTTTGTTAATTTTGCAACCAAATATTTGATTCGATACCCAAGATACCCTTGGCCTCCTCCTGCTTCAGGCCATAATGCAATGAAAGTGTTACAGGTTCGTCTTCAATGAAAGTCGCTAGGAAAAAAACTCCCCAAGAAAAAAATATTCGAAATTCGAAACTTGTAAGTGTAGGCCTTTGGTCAATGGTCACATGAAATTATCAATGTAACACATCATCAATATCAGCGTCATCATTGTTCTCCATGCCGCTGATGCCGTCGTCGTCGTCATTATCTTTATTGACTTGGACATTGCAAATGTGGCCATTGTCTTCATTCATTAATAATTTCGAGTTTTCTTCTGTTTTTGCCCAAGGAATTCAATTTGTTTTCGAGAAGTTTCAGGTTTTTTTCGGGGTGCCCTAAGAGAATAAGGCAATGGAATGTATTCAAAAGTAGTTCATATGCCGTGTGCGTGACATCAATCAGGAGGCTTGTTTCCAGTTTTTTTGCGATTTTTTTTCTTTCACATACTTTCATTTTCGTTTTTTTTGTTTTTGTTCTCTTGTTTTCTTTCTTCTAGATCACCATGAATTTTAGTTACATTTACGCCGAAGATCCGCTGCGTGAAAAACTGGTCGGTAATATAACATGGG